TATTATGGACTGTGGAGAGGGAAATTATCAAGATATGAACAATAGACTTGGTCATTTGGTTTCAAATTAATTGTGAATCATTATGATCTCAGGCGATTAGTGGGTCACCCGAATTCCATAACTCTGAATCACATGTAGATATATCATGAAAGAACCAAAACAGATAATATAGAAATGATTTATTTGTTTTGTGATTGGGGTTCAACCTACGGTGCCAAAAAGATAATTGATAGTGAAAAGATCATTCATGGTTAGGGATCAGCCACTAAATGTTGATTTTATTCACAGGTCAAGTGAGAAAAGACCAGTAGAGGCAAAATAAAAGGAACAGTAAAAAAAAAAAATCAATATTTATTTTTATACATTTATTTATAATATATAAATACAGGTTTATTTTCAACTATTCCTAGTTTTTTTCCCCTCTGTTACATCTTCTCATGTGATCTGTAAACCAATAGGTGGGGAAATGCAACTATCAGTGTACTGCAAAATATATAGATGATATTTATATTATGTACATACTTTGCTGTACAATGATTAGCCAATTTGTGCCCTTTCCCATGTCACCAAAACACTTGTGCATCACCCCTGGGTTGGGCGTGTTCTGCCAAGCAGCCTTGTAGCACACATATATTTTCTGTTTAGACAGGGAACAGTGTCAGGTAAGAAGGCTCTTTACAGTTCTTCTTCTACCCCACCTCTAAAAAAATGGAAGACTGCTGCCTCTCTGCCATTCTCCTAACCATCTGACAAAGGCAAGCCCAAAAACGTAGGACACTTTAGATAGTTAATTAGTGAAAGCTTTAATATCTGTTTATGTCTGTGCATTTGAGTTTCTAAATGTTTGTGTAAGCTTGTGTATTTGTGTGTGTTTGTAAATGTGCACATATATATATATATATATATATATATATATATATATATATATATATTTGTGTGCATAGAAGTTTGACATCTGCAAGGTTGTACAATAGCTAAGAAACAAAGTTGCTTGGAACCAAGGAGGTTTGAGATATAATTTTACACATGCTGTCTGATATGTAGTGATGCAGTTTCCTTGCTGAACACTGAATGGATCAAGCACCATGACCCAGAAATAAAGTGAGAATGTTAATCCTTTGTTGCATTCTCTCCTTAGAAAATATATACAATTCCCTGCTAAAATATTACTCCTACTATTATTCTTATAATTTTGCTCTTGCATATTTTTTTTTGCTTACACCTGAGTATATGAGTATATCCTTTAAATTTATTTAGGCTATATTTTTTGCATTTAATGTTCCGAGTTGTTTTGCTGATTAGTTTTTCCAAATTGAAGCTATATTTGCTTCAAATATCTATTACATTTCTCATTTTGACACAATCAGAGTTATTCACTAAAGAGGAAAATGTATTCATACTTACCATAATTTTCTCTTCCTGGCTATTATTCATGACAGCATACACACATCGGTTAGCTCCTCCCCTTGCAGCCAATAGTACAGGAATAAAACAAATAATTTAAAAGGAGTATCCCTGCATAGGTCCCTCAGTCAGTAACAAGCTCCTACATAAAAAGCAAAACCAACACTGGGTGGGTAGTTACATAGTTACATAGCTGAAAAGAGACTTGCGTCCATCAAGTTCAGCCTTCCTCACATTTGTTTTTTGCTGTTGATCCAAAAGAAGGCAAAAAAACCAGTTTGAAGCACAATTTTGCAACAAGCTAGGAAAAAAATTCCTTCTTGACCCCAGAATGGCAGTCAGATTTATCCTTGGATCAAGCAGTTATTACCCTACATTAGGGTATATGCTTCCATGAATAATAGACAGGAAAAGAAATTTATGGTAAGTTTGAATACATTTTCCTCTTTCCTGGCTAAAAATGGCAGCATATACACATGGGAATACCCAAGCTTACCAGGGAGGGACGGAAACATACATTACTGGCAATCAAATAATCAGAACAATTCAACATAGATTAGAAGATTGAACTGAGGTAAGGACATGACGTCCAAATTACGCCTCATTGATTGATTCAATATCCAATATGTAATGCAGGACAAACGAGTTCAAAGAGGTCCAAATGCCAAATTTACAAAGTTTCAGCAGAGACCATTGCCATGGAAGCCCATGATGCTGCAACTGCACAATAGAGCCCTTTGAAACGGCACAATAGAGCCCTTTTGAAATCCTTTGGTATAGGTAGAGAATGGCATTGAAAAGCTTTCACTTTAGGCATGATCTCTGGTGCTAAATGCAAGACAACCATATCCTGTTGAGATTCAGTGAATGGGGGTACACAGAATCAAGCCTGGAGTTCACACATTCACCTTGCTGAGCTACCAGCCACCAGCAACAGCACTGTCTGTGCTGACACCATGGAAGCTCCTGTTAGAGGTTTGAATGGTGGTTTAGTCAGAGCCTGTAAGACCAGAGGTAGGTCACATATGGACTTCAACACCCTCAGTGGAGGCTTGAATTTAATAGCTGCTTGCATGAAGCAAAGCACCAGGGATTCCAATGCTCAATGGGTACCCATCCATGTGAAAATTGCCAATCTGTGCTCCAATAGAGTGTCATCAATCAGACCATATCAAGGCCTGATTGAGGAGTAATTCCAACATCTATTCTATAGACCAAAAGACAAATGCATGCAAAGTTTGTAATCTGTAAAGTATTTATAGGACTGTAAGAGGATATTAATGACTTTCTCATGGATGCCTATACTTCTAGAGACACCAGCCTCAACACCAGAGCTTAAGGATCTCGGTGTGTCAAGGGACCTTGTAATAATAGGTCTGGATGTACTGGAATTTCCATTGGAGGCTCCAGATTTATCTTACTCATCATAGGAGTTTAGAGTCTTCGTGACCTTCCACTGTCTCCTTTGAATTTCCTTTAGGAATGTTGAATTCATGAAAAATATGTACGTCAGATTTAGAATCCCAATTTGAGTCAGAGTATTCTGACCTTGAACATTCTGGTCCTAAAAACGAGAGATAAAAGCTTCTGGATCCAGTAGTTCTGGGAAGTGGCCATCAGATCTACATTGGTTATCAGCCAAATCTGAGGATATGTCACAACATTCAACCTTGACCACTGTTACTTGGCTCAGGTAATCAGCCATTGTATACTGAGCCCCTGGTTGTTGTCCTGTGCCCTGCTCATCATGGGCTGTAATTGCTTCATCAATAAGTGGCTGTGAGACCCACCTTGATTATTGATATATGATACATTTGCATTGATATTTGAGCAAATTCTGACCCACTTGTTCTTCAGCAACCTTCCGAAGTGAAGAAGAGCTATGAAAAATGTCAAATTCCATAACATTAGATGAAAATATTGTCCCTTCCCTTACCCACAAACCTTGTGTAACATGGTCCAGACAATGTGTATCCAATCCTTTAAAACTGGAATCTGAGCTTAAAATTGCCCTGTGAAGTTCTGCTCATAGGAAATCCAGAGACATTCTCTCTTTCATCTACCAGGTAAGGTGTAACTCCACTGATGGTGACATCATCAGTGGCTGGCTCCCAATTCATCTTTATCTTGTTGAACTGAGATAGGAAGGACCTTTGAGGAATCCTGAGATGCCTTTGAGCCCATCTGACAAGTCTGATGGTGGAAGCCAGGATTCCTAGTAGTTGCATCTACTTCCTTGCTGTTACCAAGCGAAAATGAAGAAACTGGAAGAGAAAACTTCCACCATCTGTGGAACTGTTCCTGAGATAGGGGAAAGCAGAGTATAGAGTACTGCACCCAGAAAAGTCATCCTCTTAGCTGGCATGAGACTGCTCTTTTTGGTATTCATCAAGCAGCCAAACTTCAGACATTCTGAAAGAACTTGATCCCTCTGTGCACCTGCCTAGATCATCCAAATAATGGAACCAAGTGGTGTTCTAGACTCTCAATATCACTATAAGCACACATAAGGTTCTTGGGGCTGCAATGAGGCCAAATGGTAGGGCACGAATTGGAAGTTCTTTTCTAAGATAATACTGAAGATCTGAAGATCTAGACCTATTAGAATGATAGTAAGCATCCTTGAGATATATAGTGATAAGGAACTTGTCCTTCCAAATTGCTGGGGATATGGATCTGATTGAATCCATCCCAAAGGCTCTGTCATTCAGTCTATCGTTGGCCCTTCTTAGGTCCAGTATAGACTTCCATGTGCCTCTATTTTTAGCATCAGAAGAGAGGCGAACATTGTTCCAGGAACCGCTCTTGTTAAGGGACCTAAGAAATCACATATTTGTCCAGAAGCTTTCATATATATTCCTTCAGTGCTATACCTTTGAATCATCTGTCTGAATTCTCTTGTTGATATAGAGACTCTCGTCTCTGAATCTTCAGTGCTATAACTTCTTCATAGCTCTATTAGAACCTTACATAGTTACATAGTTACATAGCTGAAGTTCAGCCTTCCTCACATATGTTTTTGCTGTTGATCCAAAAGAAGGCAAAAAACCCAGTCTGAAGCGCTTCCAATTTTGAAACAAACTAGACAAAAATTCCTTCTTGACCCCAAAATAGCAGTCAGATGTCTCCTTGGATCAAGCAGCTATTACCCCACTAATTATAAATTATATCCCAGTATGTTATGTTTTTGCAAGTATTTATCCAATTGCAGTTTAAACATCTGTATAGACTCTGACAAAACCACCTCTTCAGGCAAAGAATTCCATATCTTTATTGCTCTTACTGTAAAAAAAACTTTTCTTTGCCTTAGATTAAATCTCCTTTCTTCCAGCCTAAATGTGTGACCTCATGTCCTATGTATAGACCTGTTTATAAATAGATTTCCAGATAATGGTTTGTACTGGCCCCGAATATATTTGTATAATGTTATCATATCCCTTCTCAGGCACCATTTTTCCAAACTAAAGAGATTTACATTTTTTAAACTTTCTTCATAACTAAAATGCTCCATTCCTTTTATCAATTTTGTAGCTCATCTCTGCACTTTTTCTAGTGCCATGATATCTTTCTTTAGAACAGGTGCCCAAAATTGCACAGCATATTCAAGGTGTGGTCTTACCAACGATTTATAAAGAGGCAAAATTATATTTTCATCTCGAGAATTTATGCCCCTATTTATACATGACAAAACCTTACTGGCCTTAGCAACGGCAGCTTGACATTTCATATTGCTGCCTAATTTGTTGTCTATAACAATTCCCAAATCCTTCTCATGTGTGGTTATCCCTAGTTCACTACCATTTAGGGTGTAAATTGCTTGTGCATTCTTAACACTAAAGTGCATAACTTTGCATTTCTCTACGTTAAATTTCATCTGCCATTTTAGTGCCCAGTCCCCCAATCTATCCAAATCCCTCTGCAGCAAGGCAATATCCTGCTCACATTTTATTACATGGCTTTCAATGCCCATTTCAAGATCATTTAAAATATGTTAAATAGAAGCGGTCCCAAAACAGAATCCTGAGGGACACCATTTACCACTTTTGTCCAGCTTGAAAATTTACCATTAATGACAACTCGTTGTACTCTATCCTTAAGCCAATGTTCTACCCAAGAACAAGAATATTCATCTAGACCAATTTCTTTTAGTTTGAAGACTAACCTATTGTGAGGAACCATATCAAATGCCTTGGCAAAATCCAAGTAGATCACATCCACTGCAACACCCTGATCTATACTTCTACTTACTTCTTCGTAGAATGCAATTAGGTTAGTTTGACATGACCTATGTTTCATAAAACCATGCTGATTATTGCTAATAACACAGTTCTTCCCAATGAATTCCTGAATATTATCCCTTAATAGCCGTTCAAATAATTTCCCTGTCACAGAAGTTAAGCTCACAGGTCTATAATTTCCAGGCAAGGATTTTGAACCCTTTTTAAATATAGGACCAACATCTGCCTTCCTCCAATCCTCCAGTACAATACCTGAAACAAAAGAATCTTGAAAAATTAAATACAGAGGTTCACTTATTTCCCCACTTAGCTCCTAAAGTAAGCGTGGGTGGATACTGTTAGGCCCCGGAGCTTTATTTACATTAATTTTCTTTAATAGCTGTAGCGCCTTGTCTCGAGTTATCCAATCACAAGTTATCTTCAAGTTTGTTGCAGCAATCATTTGCTTATCTCTTGCCATAGGATCCTCATTAATATTTACTGAAGAAAAATAGTTATTTAAAATTTCTGCCTTTTCCTGGTCTTCATTAACTAACAGACCCATTTCTGTTTTCAGTGTACCTACACTTTCATTTTTTGTTTTTTTAGAATTGATTTACTTGAAAAGAATTTGGGGTTGGTTTTGCATTCTTTGGCTATCAGTTTTTCATTTTCTAGTTTAGCCACTTTAATTGCCTTTTTGAAAGTATTATTGGCTTCCTTATATCTTATATAGAATGCCTCTGATTTGTCCGACTTAAATGCTTTAAATGCCGTTTTCTTATTTTTAATCTCTTGTTTTACTTCTCTACTGGTTTTAATTTGTTTATTTTATATTTATTACCCAATGGTACATACTGTGAAATGTACCTTTCTAATATTGGTTTGAATAGTTTCCATTTTTCCTCAGTGTTTTTATCACTAAGGAGCTTTTTTAAACGTATACAATGTTTCCCCTCCATTTTAGGTACTTACTGGCAATTGCCCTAATCCAAGATGGCTGCCGCAATTCATCGGTATTGAGCCTTTATGGCACAAACTGCACATGCACGGGCGTCTTCCAAGTGCATTTACTGGTTAGAGCCCGGGGAGAGAGCTCGGTCTGCAGCAGAGGTGCAACAAGGTGCAAAAAATAACCAAAGTTAAAGGCATCTTAGTAAAAAAGGCATCACAGCATAAGGCAATAGAGGCACAGCTGCATAATGCACCAGTTTAAAGGAATCACAGATTAAAAGTACCATAGTATAAACACACCACAGTATAAAGGCACAACAGAATAAAGGCACCCTAAAATGGCAAAAACAAATAAAGTAATGAAGAGAAAAAAAACATATATGTCCATGAGCAAAAGGGAGCAAAATGCTCACATCCTAAGGGCTGTAGGACAGGGAAAAAACTGACGGACCTATGCAGGGATACTCCTTTTAAAGGTTTTGTTTTATTCCTGTCCTATCGGCTGTAAGGGGAGGAGCTAACCCATGTGTATATGAAACCATGATTAGCCAGGAAAGTGACAATTGCAAGTGGATTTCAAATGTTAAGTCAAAATAGCGAAACTCAAAAAATTCTCTAGTCAGTTATGCTTTTAGTTTGGCTACGCTGTCCTTAAATCTGAAATTCTAAATTCTCACATTTTCAAGTAACCCTGCATAACTCATGTTGATGGCTTTGTTTGCTAATTGGGGATTTATAGCTTCCTATTTTCCCTTATTTCAAGAGGCAAGATACTAAAATCAAACCAGACTCCTATGTCTTTGTAATTTAAGTAGTAGAGAAGTACCTAGGTATAGGAACCATGCCTATTTACTGTGGTCACCTCATAGGTACATGAATAATTGTATTTCACTTAAAGGAACACTTTGCTGGGTAACACTGAAGAAGCCACACACAGAGAGTCCGGACACAGGTCAGTTCAGGAAGTCAAGGTCTTTATTCTCACGATCGGGTCTCAGCTGAACTCCTGTTCAAAAGGTCTGAGCACATGGAGTAGAGGCTTTTTTATAAGCTATGCAACCCCCATTTGTACCCTTACACCAATCATCAAACAGGATACACAAGATCACCAAGATATGGACAAGCAACATGGCCCTTTTAGGAGAATGGAATGTGGTTTCATTTCTTGCACATGCTCAGTACATTGATGACAGTATTTTAGCCACATATATATGTCACATGGAGATTTTAGGCCTACTAAATTTTGGGCCTAGCTGAAATCCCATCACAACTTTATTGCTGGGAATACAAAGATGTATTATATGCCCTCGCAAATCCCGCCAGCTCCTCCCCCCTCCCATGAAAGGGTTAAAAAACCCTTTCATTCCTTACCTGATTCCAGCGTTGATGTCCCTTGGTGCTGGGTTACGCTCCACTCCCGCCGACATTTGCAGCTGGGGGACCTAATGCACATGCAGGAAACTGTGACTGTCTAGCAAACAGCCTCTAGAGGCAGGCTTAGCACTGCGATGTAAGCATTGCAGTTTCTCTAAAACGGCAATGTTTTATATTGCAGAGCTAAGGGGTACACAGGCACTGCACCTATACCAATAAAAAAGTTACCTGTGCTTTTCCCAAATCCCTATGCATAAATAAAAAAATGGAGGTTATTTAGTAACTCCAATGGCCATTAGAAGGATGCCCATCTGCCACGTCAAGGCAAACCTCTTTGGTGGGTCCTACGCTGACTATTCACCTTGCTTCCTTTTGCTTCAGGTAAAGATATCTCTAATGCAAGCATGTCAAACTCGAGGCCCACTGGCCGCATTCGACCCACAATGAATAACTTTGTGGACCGGAGAGCCGCGAGTTTGAGACATGCTTACTAAGGAAATGAAGGCACCTCCTCTCCCCTCATTGCAGGTGCCTATTCTGCTAAAAAATTACCCAACCAGGCGGAGAGGTCATTGGTGGCAATGAGGGAGCTCAGTCTTCCTGCTCCTCACTGCTCCCTTGCCCTCCGTCTGTAGTGATGTCGGGTGCCGGAATATGACGTCATTCCGGTACCCGGCATCACTAAACTGCACACGTGAGGGAGCAGCGAGGAGCAGTAAGGACAAGCTGCAGCGAGAAGATTCCCACTGGACCCCAGGGAGAGGCCACACACCAGCTATCAAAGGCAGGTAATAATAAATACAATTATGTGACTGTGTGCAAGCAGGGCCGGTGCAAGGATTTTTGCCGCCCTAGGCAAAAGAAAAGTTTGCCGCCCCCCATGTGACATAACAATGCCCCACCCATATGATCTGCCACATGAACTAACGCCAGTGCTGCACGCAGTGTGTGTTTACATAAAAAAAAGCCTGCAGGCTATAGACACCAGAACCACTACATTAAGCTGAAGGGGTTCTGGGGACTAAACTTTCCCTTTAATGTGAGGTAAATTAGAGATTAGCTCCACTAATAATATACTAGATTGCCTACTTACAACCAGCTCTGATCCACAGTACAGGAGCTTCTGTTTTCTGTACCCGGCCGGACTGACAGGAAGTGCGCACTGAGTGGAATTCAGAGTACGGATTCTCCTATACCGCGGACCAGACCGGAGCTCGACCATGCTACAACAGAGGCACTGACAGGAAGGAGCACTGTGTGCTTCCCTCCTGCTGATCCCTCTTTTCTCACGTGCCCTGGCCGGTGTGCCCTTATGGACGCGCCGGCCCGGGCAGAGCTGCAGCCGCTTGAGGCTCTCTATAGAGTGCTCAAGCGGCTGCAGCATGAGAGGGGCCGGCGCTCCTAGGGGGCACCTTAGGCGACTGCCTAAGTCACCTATAGGATGTGCCGGCCCTGTGTGCAAGAATGTGTAAATGTGTGAGTGTGTGTGTCTGTCAGTGTGTGTCTGTCAGCGTGTGTGCCTGTCAGTGAGTGAGTGTCTATCAGTGAATGTGTGGGTCTGTCAGTGAGTGTGTGTGTCTCAGTGTGTATGTGTGTCTGTCAGTGAGTGTGTGTGTATTTGTCTGGCAGTGTGTCTGCCTGTGTGTGTGTGTGTGTGTGTATGTCTGCCTGTCAGTATGTGTATGTTTGTCTTTCAGTGTATGTGTGTCTGTCAGAGAGTGAGTGTGTGTGTCTGTTAGTGAGTGTGTGTCTGTCAGTGAGTGTGTTTTGGTCAGTGTTGCGATGACACTGAAGGACCTGGAGGTGCACGGAGGCACGCAACTAAACATTACATTTCGACGTGACATCAACGCTCTCCACCTTCACAAAGTTTCAATGAGTAGCGGAAGGATCTTCTTTGGCACAGGGCGTGGACGACTCCATTGGGGGTATACCAGAGGCTGGACACTGGAGTCATATACTGGCAATGTGAATGGAGTATGCTTGTTGGCTAATATTGTTTTTTCTTTTTTTTTTAAACAAGGGTGGGAGATTACTAGCGGTGAGTGCTGTGATTTAGTAGAAGCGTGTAACTGGGATTTAGTATAGAGGGGGGGACAGGGAATTAATATAGAGGGGGTACTGGGATTTAGTATAGAGTGGGGGACTGGGATTTAGTATAGAGGGGGGACAAGGGATTAGTAGAGGGGAGTTGGGGTTTAGTAGGGGGGATGCTGTTTTTTTTTATACTGTACTTTTCAAAACAAACCTACGTTTCTATGAAAACTTTTCATT